GTGTTGTTTATTTTGTCTTTTGCTTTGGTTTTTCTGTTTGTTTTGTAAATGTTGCTTCATCTCATTCACAACTGTACAGTTTGTTCAGCCAGGCTCCCTACGGCATGTTCTATGGTGCTTGTTAATCTGCCACGAAAAGCCATTGCCTCACAGGTCAGATGTGGAGAAACTAATCTAATGGGCAATGGGATCAGAACACGGACCAAAGGACTCCAGTTAGGACCCTCGTTGTATGGAAATGCTTTTCCATGGCAGCTGCTGGTGGCTTGTGAAATTACATAGAATCCAGCTAACTGTTGTGTTCACAAAAGAAGCGTATCTACCCTAAAGATTCAGAAAGAAGAGGGTTAGTAAACTGTGAAAGCTCACCAATCCTGTGATATCAGTCACTTATTGTGTGATAGATGAGCCTTAAGAGAAGTTGCCCCTGAATAATATGCTCATCTGAAGAAAGGACGAGAGGCCACTTATGGGAGATCATATTATCCATATTCCCCCTTTTAAGAAAATATGTCACGGATTTGATCAACTAAAGGTCCCAGTGCATGCTCCCTTAACATTAAGCTCAAGGCTGGCCTTCCCTCATCCAAAGCTGACTGACTGACCTGTGAGTTGACACAGATAGAATAATGATGGAGCCATGTGACAACCTAGGTGAATGACAATAATGACGGTAATATGATCATGAAGTAACACTAATTGGGGAACTATCAGAATGAGGACAACAAGGACTGCCATGTTTTTTAACTGTGTGTGTAGTTTGAGATTCTGGTCACCTAACAAACCTGATCTAGGCCTGATGTTGAATGGCTAAGACTTCCTTTTCGTGTACTACAATTCATTTCTGTGGCAATTCTCTTCTGCCTAAACTGGCGTGTTTCTTTCATGTTATCAGACTGACACTATGTTGCTCTTTCACTTTGCCTCTCTTGGTTTTATATTGAGCTGTGGGCATGAATAAATGGCTTTTATATCGAAGAATTGGTTGGATATCTAAAATAAGCTTGTACTTGATTATCTGCAATATCATTCTTTCTTTATACTTTCATTTAAATATGCCTTATAACATTTCTCTTCATCTCAGTGAGTACATGAAAAGTTGACTTGGGAGCATAGTCAAATATTTAGTTCTTGACTCTTCTGTATTTGTCCAGTTCTATATTGGACACTATATTGAAGCCACCTTTACAATGGACATCACCATTTTTGCTGATATTCAGCTCTTCCTATTATGTAAGAACTTTATTATTCCTTAGCTATCAGATACCTTTAACTGGAATGAAATATGAGGCAAAATTATATGTAGACTTTCTTTTTTTCTGTGTTTTCTATGTTGAGGTGACATTTCTGTCAGCCTGGGTTCCTGAGTGTCCTCTGACACTCAAGACACTCAAATAATGTGAACAAAAAATAAACATTCCTACTTTATAACACTAAAACTGGGGAATGTTTTTAATTGTGGAATAAGCTAGGCAACTCAGTAAAAACAACTTTCAAAACCTTTAAAGTGTTAAACCCATCCTTGCTACTTCCTTTTATACTATCATTGCCATCCAAAACTCCCCATGTTTTACCTGGATTTGCTGCAAGGGTCTCTTGGTTGACCTCCGCTCCCATCCTTCTCTGAAATTTCTAAAGGACAGTTTCCAAAAAGCAGTAACATTTACTGCTTAAAGATCATGTTACTTCCTTACCCAAACTCTTCAGGAACACTAAACTAGGAGTATGGTAAAGCCTCTCTGTTAACCATAGTGCCTATTATTCAACTTCTGCTAGTCTCCAAATTTGTCTCTTGCCATTCCTCCATCAGAAATCATCATATCCCTTGTCCCTTGGCAGCAGCTCGCTCTTGCCTCACTATGCTTTTGTCTTCTTGTTCCTTCCTTGTGGAACATTTTACCTTAAGAGCTCTGTGTAACTTAGATCATTCTTTCTCATTATACAAATCTTTCTTCCAAGATTCTAGCCTCAGAACAGTCTCGGTGGCTTCTGAAACCACATCGCCTCATAACCCATTTGAAGTTATGAAGCTTGATTGTATAAAGAATTCTTTGGACTGTCTTCTTTCTTTATTTACTTAATTTGTTTCTCTCTTTCGCAGACTATGAATATCAAAGGACAGGGATTATTTGTTTTAGTGCTTTGTCCCTGGAAGAAATGTTCATGTTGCTTTAGTGGATTTCAGTAAATATTTATTAAGTGAATGAATTAATGAAATACTCACTGAAACAATCAAGATGTCAAAACAACACTGCAACAAAAGACAAGTGAATCGGAAGCAATGTTCATTCACAGATCTTTAGCCTAGTTTGTTTGGTTAAGTAGAGCAAACCCTAAATCAAAATAGTATTAAATAACCAGTTTGCATAGCATTTATCTACTATCACTTATAATTTATTTTCTAAATACTTATTTATTTATTTTACATTCCTACTGCAGTTTCTCCACCCTCCTCTCCTTCCAGTCCCTTTCTACCACTTCCCCTCTAGAAATGCCCCACCTCCATCCACTTCTGCTTCCTATTGGGAGGGAGGGGAGGCCTCCCATGGATATCAACAAAACATGGCAGATCAAGTTGAAATAAGACTAAGCTGCTTGCCTTGTATTAAGGCTCGACAAGGTAGACCAGTATGAAAAATATGGTTCCAAAAGCCAGCAAAGAAGTCAGAAATAGCCCTTGCTGCCACTATTAGGAGTACATAAGAAGACCAAGCTACACAACTGTCACATATGTACAGAGGTATACTTATAATTTATTTATTCAGTAAAATCTAATGTATCCAAATCAAGTAGCTGACACTCTTTAGTTTGTATTTAAACAAAGAAGTCCTAAAAGTTAACTAGCACAAGATATATTTAATAGTGCCCTAACTAATGTATTAAACAGTCAAAATACCCTAAATTTTTTTTTACAATGCCTAAAATGTATACAAGGATAGGATATGAAATCAAAAGGTAGGCATTTGTGGGATAATCTTTTCATACACTGTAGACATGTATCTCTGCCAAAGGTGCTTTCTGACTGGTTTAATAAAAAGCTGAATGGCCGATAGCTAGGCAAGAGAGAATAGGAAGGACTTGCAGGGAGAGAAAGAAACTCTGAGAAGAGGGGCCGAAAGACACCAGTGAAACATGGAACAAATTTAACATACAGAATGGGATAGAGGTAAAAGCCACATGGCAGAATGTAGATCAATAAAAACAGGTTAATTTGAGTTATAAGAGCTAATTGGAAAAATACTAAGCTAAAGCCAAGCATTCACAATTAATAAGAATTCTCCATGTCATTATTTGTGGGCTGGTGGGTCAAGAAAGTCTGACTACAATAGGCTCAAAGAGAGACTAGGCAAGAGAAGTTGGTAGGAGACACTAAGAATTTTTTATTTTAGGAAATAACTCTTTAAACAGTCTACCTTGGATTAATATGTCACTATGATTTGTCAATGAGCTGTATATATCAGTAGTATGTCTTATTCTTCATCATCAGGTTCTCAATGGGAGGTGTTTATGACACTTGTAATCACAGGTCAAGATGACAAATTTGAATTTCTTCAGTTTCTATATTCTAGAGTTATCATTCAACAGAAAAGAAGGTAACAGGGCATTTGTTTCCCTGCAAATTAAGCGGCATCATTGTAAGGAACATTTTCTATGACAAAGACATATGTGGACAATAAATGAGTTCAAAGCAACTCAACTTCTTTCTCTGGCTTCAATGAGATTGAAGTGAGGAATGGCTGTGAGACCTGAGATGAGAGACCAATCCCTGTGACTTCCGCCACTCGAGTATTTTATTAACTTTTTGTTGCTAGAAAAGGGAGATCATGGCAGTAACTACTTCAAATGCCCCCAAAAGACTGCGGTAGAGATAAGACATGTTTATAAGTTGAATGTATTTCTCTCTTGTTTTACTTTTCCTTGTTGAAGCAAGTATCATCGAAAGTGAAGTCATAGTCCACACACATTTCACATTTGTGGAGAGGGAGGAACAGACTGCAGACTGTACGTATCTGGCATACATATTTTTACTTCGACTAGAGGTTAAGGATATTTATATCTGGCTATGGAATGTTGAAATTGCAGTAATTGGTAGATGACACCACTGTTTCTTTATATACGCACAAGAACAAAGCTGGTTCTCAATAGGAAACGTTCACAGTCCATTTCAGTAGTCGGCCATTTCTAAATAGTCTATCTCCTTCCCAGAGAGAAAGCTAAATTCACAATCATGAATGAAAGCAAAAATTAATTATTTAATTGCTATCTTACAAGGAAAATCAGAACAACAGAGGAAAACACACAAGACCTTGCCTGAAACCCTCTTTCTGTTCTGAGAGTCAATGGACAAACTTCTGGAGTATATGACTTCCTGTTTCAGCTGTATTGCTGCTTTATTTAAATGAGTAATTCTCTTGCGTATCACTCAGCATGTCCCAGCATAGTCCATACACTTTACTAAACGAGTAGAAATAGAGATGAGATGAAAGCATTTCATTTCACAATAAAAAAAGGAAAAAAAGTTTGACCATAACAGCCTAGTTACAATGAAGTAGTCTTATTGCAGTCCCATACCTAGCAGTCATATCAGGAAAAGATGGAGCCTGTTAACAGACATTGCTTTACGGCACAGTCCTCTGACAACAAAGACAAAGCAGGTAGTCTAAGGAAAACAACAGGGGAAGAATGAAGAATCATCAGGAAATCCATTCCAAACTCCTGCTCACACACACCATACTGCCTGGAAGACGCAAAGAGGAGAAAAAGAACGGGCAAGGAGTCTGCTCTCCCAGCTCATCTTCTCCACCAAACCTGTCATTATATCCACCTCAGCCAAATGATTCGATGAAAATATTTAACCCTATGTTACCCACAATAAAGAAAAGTCAGATGTCACTGACATAAGGACCAGGTCTGGTTGATACTGATGAGGTTCATCCACTGGCTTTTAACATAGGATCATGTCACATTGTCGGAAATGTTTCGTATGTTGGTTCTCTTACCTCCTGGTGATTCTTGGCCAGCCATTCCTTAATCGTGTCTAGGGCAATGACTGCAGCAGGCTCATTTGGAAAACCTAAATAAAGAGCATAAGGAAGCAATAAATAAAGCATGGAAGGGACACAGAAGTCAACCAAGGCTTAAGATTGTATTGATCTTATTTTACATAGTATTCCATTCAACAAGCAAGGAAAATAAGGCCGGTGGTGATAAATTTTACATGGATATGAAACCTTCAATCAATAACATAGTATAAGACTAGCTCTGTACCAGTTCCAAAAAAGAAGGATTTAATAAAGATACCAACAGCATTCACATATACTTAATAGCTTATAATGTATTTTATTCTCCTCAAGAGTGCTCAGATCAAAGTATACTCTTTGCCTCAGTTTCTTTTGTAGTTGAAAACAGACTTTTTTTTACAACGTATAGTAATTACATTCCCCCAGATACACACCACCCACCAAATTCCACATCCTTTATCGCTCTCTTTCTCCCATTTGAAAACAAGCACGCATCTAAAAAGAATATCTAATAAAATAAGACAATATAAAAATAAACCTGAATAGGAAAAAACAAATAAAGAGAAAAACAAAGAGCCAAATTAAAGAAAAAGCAACAAGAAACCTATGGACACAGAGACACACATCAATAACCAAAGAAATCCCACAAAGTATAAAAATAAACACCTTAATATATAAATGAATGACCTGTACTATAAAGGGAGAAAAAAAGAAAATAATGCCCAGGTGAAGCATCATGAGGCAAGAAAACAAACAAAAAAGCAACCTCCAAAAACATTGAGTTTGTTTTGTGGTTGCTATGCCTCTTCAGCTTTAAATCCCAGTAAATGTGGCTCAGAGAAAACATGGTTGGTGTGAGAATCATTAGTTCAATGTTCTATCAGGGAACTGCCACAAAGTAAGGAAGATAACATGCCAAATAGCTATATATATGACAGAAATCTATTATCAGTAGTCAATGATGGTGATTCCAACTCTACTTGGTGATTCCAGCACTACAGATAATGTCTGGGATGAAAATCACATCAACTAAACTGACCTTCTGGTATGGTTTGATTTTATCACAGCAGCAGAAGTCACAGAGTTATGTGTCATCTCAGCATGAACACACATGTTTGGAATGTCAAACACATACCACTATGATTGTTTAGCTAATGTCACCTGAACATATCCCTAGACCACGAGAATCATTGCATTGTCCAAAACAAGTAGAAGGAGTAACCTGAAGACTCGAATTTCTCTGATGCTGTTGAGGAGGAGAGAGAATGGACTAAATATTATTGAAAGGCTTTTTAAGTACTATTCTGGTTCCTTAATCACCAAGTATCAATTTCTTTCCTATTAGCTCTAACTTTCTGGATTTTCATGGCCCTATATCTCTCATTTTTCTCTGTTTTTTTTTAGTGTTTAAACATTATCTGCAAGTACACAATTGAGTGGTTGTTAAAGTTTCACAATCATCACTGTCCCCAGAGTACTTTAAAGATACTCTGTAACCATCAGTGCTCATTTCAAAGCTACTGTCTTTTCTGAATCCCACTACCATAAGTTTCTCCTTCTGAACGTTCCAATGCAACTTCCCGTAGCAGGAGGCCACTTTTTGGTTCCCAGCTCCAAAATAACGATACAAAAACTGTATTAATTAAATCACTGCTTGGCCCATTAGCTCTAGCTTCTTATTGGCTAACTCTTACATATTAATTTAACCCATTTCTATTAATCTGTGCATTGTCACATAGGTGTGGCTTAGTGGCTAAAGTTTCACCATCTGTCTCCTGCAGCTCCATGGCTTCACTCTGATTCCACCTCCTTTCTCCCAGCATTCAGTTTAGTTTTCCCTGCTTACCTCTATTCTTTTTGCTCTATCAGGTCAAGGCAGTTTTCTTTACTAATTAACCAATCATATTCACAGCATACAAAGGGGAATCCCACATCACATTCTTTTGTGGCCTCTTTTGTCTGACCAATTCTTCTCAAGTTTTTTTTTCCTTAGATATGTCAATAAAATGCTTGTCATTCCCAAGTTCTTACATCTAGCTTTCTTACTACAGTCAACTTTAGCCAGTTTCAGCATTGACCACTACATTGTCTGTGAGATGCCTTCTATTCCTACATTCTACCTCGGCCAGTTTCAGCATCAATTGCTGGATTGTGTGTTGGATGCATTCTATTCAGGGTCTCTTGTGCATTGCCTGACTTGGCAAAGAAAGAGAGGTGTTGCTATGTGGCGAATTCCTCTGGTGGCAAATACACATGGCAGTGTTTAGGCTGACATCTTGATCTCGGCAGCCTTCAGAGAATTGGTGGGAAAGATGAGCAACAACAGCAGTGCCCTCGTTTGCAAGCATTTGAAAACAAATATTGCTTTTCTGATTAGGTTTCCTGCAGGCATTGCTAGAAATTTCATTAGGAAGATTGGGACCAATGACACAGGACCAAGATCCATGTTTTTTAATTTATAAAAAGTGGAAACCTCTGTAATATGAAAAATGCCACCCTGTTTCAAGTACTTGTAAAGCCCTATGTAACATTTAGAGTTTATTTTCTTTAAATGAATGCTTTGTAATATAAGACTTTTAAAATTAAAATAAAAGAAGTTGCTAATTAAAAAAATAGTAAGTCTATTAAAAAAACTATCCTTGAACCAAAAATGAGTTGTTTTCTAGATACTTTTTACAAGATCCTGTCCAATAAAAGCCCAAAGTCTAGGGAAGGAAATAAATGAGTAAATATGTAGCCACAAAACAGCAAAATGAATAGAGTAGGGTGGGAAAACACAGATGAACGGACTAGGCAGGAAATGAGAGAAGTTTGGAGGATAGACACTCAAAATAGCCATTGAAGAAACATTATCCTTAGAAGTAAACAGCCAAAGTCAAGGGACTAATGGACTATACAGGGAAAGTAAAGGGATATTTAAAAAAATATAACAACAAAAAAAAAAGCAGGGTGAGTACATGGGACTTATAAACAGAAGTAGGCTGTGGATTTGCCACCATGGAGTTACCCACGGGTCTTGTTCAGTCCTCCTTTCCCTGAGTGGAACACTGACATCTGTAGCCACACTTTCCTCAGTGCACTCCAGCACAAAACCACAACCTGTCTTGCTCATGGCTTTCTGGCTATGGCAGTGCCTTTCTCTGAGTCTAAACAGCTAAACAGTGGCGTAAGCACCTTTGTCTGTGCTACTCTTCTAGTGGCCTCAGGTGCCCCTTACAGACTTGTCTTATTTTTCTCTGCTTATTCTCTTCTCAAGAAATTCTTCTCTAACTTCAAGGAATATTTAGTAATTACTCAAAAGTTAAAATTATAGGGGTATGGATATCTAATAAATACTGTCATCAAATTCAATTTCAATTGCCATCTGTATTAATGCTCACCTTTAGAAGACATAATTCCCCACAGATGAAATTAGACAAGTTCTTACAGAACCATAGCAACCACGGTAAGTTCTCAATTATCCCTGACCCCTTGGTTACTCTCTCACATACATCAAAGCCTCTGGCATGGAGTTATGGTTTTCATCATGATCTCAGGGGTCTCTGCGTCCCTGACCGATGTCAACACCCAAGACTGTGACCCACCAAATACCCAGTTGTCATGTACTTGACCCGTTCATCTTCAAAATCAACGTCCTCCATTCCAGATCCCTCCTTCTTAGGTCACACACTGGACCTCGATGTAACATTTTCAATCTAAGGTTATGGAGTGAAATGCCCAAAGCCTGTTTCCTATTTAGCTTTCTTGGCTGCTTTCTTGGCTCTTCCTCTTTACAAGCATTTGATGCCTTTTCTCTACTCATGCTAGTCCCTATTAATCAGCATCAACACTTCTGGATGCTCTGGCTCCTTTCTGCTTCTTAAGGCTCATCTTTCATTATATTGCTACTTGCTTAAATAGAATCTTACTGGGTGCTTTTTACTGTGTTTTCTTACATTGTCATATAATTTGCGTAAAGATAAAAGATGATAATTTATTAAAATTAAATTCCCATACTTTAACTAGTAGGCCAGATTATTTGGTGCTCAGACCATGGTGACTTAGGATATATTACGCATTCCTCTATAGCGTGACTTTTAATGAGCTATAGCCATTGTACAAATGGCCAGTCTCAAGAAAAACAACTTGGGCTATAAACTTTAGTGCTCAAGGAGAAAGTAAGATGCCAAGCCATCTATTCAAATATTGACCCTGAGCAAATGGCCAACAAAATAAGAAGTAAGTAACTTCCTATTCAACTACTGCAAAAGACTTCCAACCCTCCTAAGTCATGATAGCCCCTCTAGGAATTTGCCTACTGCCTTTAGATAGTGTACTTCAAAAATTTCTTTCTGTTTGTCTCTGACCGTGTGTCTGCTTCTTTCTTTCTATCTCTGTTTCCATTCATGTGTGAGTGCACATGTATGTTACATGTCAGAGCACAACTTGCAGGAGTCACTTATCTCTAGCATGTGGGTTTAAGAGACTGAACTTGAATGATCAGGCTTGGTCTCAAATACCTGTACTCTTTAAGTCATCGTAATGGTTCAATGACATTTCTCTGTGTCTGTGTTTTGCTATATTCTTTTTTAGCTGGCTGCACTAACCTCACCCATGCTGGTAGGTTGCCCACCTAAGAAGGTTAAAGAAGTTCTGTGGAGGACAAAGGTGGACCACAATCTATAGTGGGGTAGGCATTCACGTTCTTTGTCTTTTCTCCAACTGCTATTCCATTCCTGGCTTCTTTTTGTTTTGTTTTCCGTAAGTCTTTAACCCATAAATGTGAACCCCTAACCCCCAAGTCTGTAAAAGCATTCATTTGCTTAAACTCCAGTGGCTACACTTTGGCTGAGATTTCTTTGGGTAAAATGAAGTCTCTAAGCTTTAACTCTCTGTCTTCTTCCTTGCTCCCCTTCTCTGTCTTTTTGAGGAAGTAGAGTCTCTATTCTTTCTGTGCTTTCATTCTCTCCTGGGTTTCCTCCCTCCAGGGAAAGGGGCAGGCTATGGTATGCCATGTAAACACCTTCTTTCTTGAGAGTTCTAAGGCACACATCCTCTCCCCTCCACACAGTGC